TATTTTGCTGTTAGTTTTGTACAACAGAGGAACTCTCTCCTTTATATAATGAATTGTACAGGACAAATACGACGCTCATATTCATATAAATTCATTTCATTTTCAATGTCCCACTTATTCAACTCAATTCAATTCGATTCCATTCTTTTCAACGTACCTTATGAGTGAAGTCATGCAGCTGTCTGATATACATACATAGGTACACTTGTTATTTACATACCCGACTCTTTATTACCGTTATTATTCCCTGTACCCGTAGGGTATGTACACGGTATTTCTCTGCCGTACTTGTTCGACTGAAGCGTACTCTCTTGCACTAAATATTATATTCTCATATGCCATGTATTTTTTTAGCGTTTATTAATTTTAATTGTATTTGCAGCCTAGAGGTTGTAGCAGCCGTGAGTTACGCTGTGGCATAATGTATACCACGTGCGATTGTGTGAAGCGAAATGGTTTACAGGACAAGTGCCCCCGAGCAATGTGTCAAGGACGTCCTGCATGCCTGTGCTTTCCATTTCCGACATGTTGCCCAGCTTCGTTCCCACTACGTTTTGCGAACATGACCATGGGCGTCAACAACAAGCGCATGCGGTGTGCCGCTACCGGAGCTTCCTGCGGCGGTGGCAGCGGGCGCGCTTGCGGAGGATGCAGTTCAGGTGGCGGTTGTGGCCCTTGCTGTGGTACATGTAATGACACGCCATGCTGTGGCCCGCACAGTCCGCCTTGCGGTGCGCCAGTTCCTATTCCGTGCTCACCAGCGCCGGGCTGTTGCTGTCCGCCTTTGCCTGAGGGTGGTATACCCGATCCACGTATATGGAATATTTGTAATACACCACCGACATATCCATGTAAGTTGGTTTGTGTCCGATTTTGGTATTAGAGGTATTATATGTTTTAAGTAGGGATGGTTATTAATTCCTACAAGTAGGGAGGGTTATTAATTCCTACAAAAAAACTGGGAGTAATGCTGCGAATCTTTGTAAAGACAGCTTAGTAACGTAACGATTTTCTCTTTTGGATAAGGCACCCCGCTTTTTTTTTAACTGAACGAGCTACAGCATGTGCTTAATTTTTTAGTTTAGCATAAGATTCTATAATTTTCACTTCACCAAAGGTCCATGTGCTTCACGTTATCTTATTTGTAAAGATAATGCACCTTGCATATGGTGCTCACCATGTAAAGCCCATTGCTATAATACACCTCCGAAATGTTGATGTTAGCGAGATGGGTACCGGACTCAGACAACTCTCCATGTAATTTTATTTTTTGAGAAATAGAGCATGATGCAATCAACATTTGAGGTGTCTGTCTGGGTCAGGGTTAGTGCAAAAAATACATACTATTATGTAAGTAATTGTCGTAAGAGTCTGATTCATCTGTGCTTATTACTTTCTTTCCACAGGTGGTTTCTAGAAATGATCTTGGCTTGATCGTCAAACCATATCAGTACACATCTCGCGATCGGTTATTGCATTGAATACCACAGATTGAGATATGAAATTCCTAAAGAACTGAACACAACAGCGGTCAAAGGATTTGTTTAGTGGATTACATACATATTGGTTGACAAAAGTTGCAGCACCCACTTGATTATGGATGTTTTGATCTCAAAACGATAGATCAGTAGCCCGTTGCAACAATATCGCTCAAGTACCCAGCCGCGATGCTTTTGTAATAATTACAGTAACTTGGTATGAATATATTCAAAATTTTTAGTAAAAATTTTTTATGATTTAAATTTTTTTTTTTTTTTGATTTATTTGATTTAAATAAATTATTTATAACGAAAAAATCTTTTTTCTTCAAAAATGAGAACTGATCCCGAATAAATATTTATACTAGAAGACATATTAGCTGCAAAATGTTATGAATAAATAAGGTCAGGTGTCTGTCCGTGTCTGTGCGTATATGTGTATAAACATGTGTCCAGTATAGAGTAAAACCAAAATAGTAACAACAACGACTTCCGACATTTCATTTTTATAGCCTGTACCCAAAGGGTGCATGTAACACACAGAAGGAGGCGTGGCAGACCCCACAAAGTATATATATTCTTGATCAGGATGAGTGGATATAGCGTTGTCCGTCCGTCCGTCTGTCCGTCTGTCTGTCCGTCTGTCCGTATGAACGCAAGGATCTCAGAAAGCATAAGAGCATACATTTACATCACGTACCTATGCGTGTTTTTATATGCGTGTATGTATGCAGCACAAAGTTGAACCAAAGCAGCAACAACAACAACAGCTGCGGGCAGCGCTGCCGACAGAGCTGCAGGCAGCGCATGAGCAGCGATTTTACTTATGGCTATAACTTTCTTCAGAACTGACCTATCCTGCCTATGATGAAATTTGGCACACGGACACATTAGTACTAAATGGATGTACCTACCAAAATCGAGAAAATTCCGAGAATTACGGAAGTTATAAGAAAAAATACGAATTGCGGGGGAGTGGGGGGGTGCATCGAAAAAAAAACTCAAACTCGTACTTTCTCGGTCTTAGTAGAATATGGAAACCAAGTTTGGTTATTCTAGCTCTTATACTTTCAGAGATCCTTGCGTTCATACGGACAGACAGACGGACGGACGGACAAGTCTATATCGACTCGGTTTCTCATCCTGATCAAGAATATATATACTTTGTGGGGTCTGCCACGCCTCCTTCTGTCTGTTACATACATTCGCAAAAAACTAGTATAGCCTTTCATCCTTTGAGTACAGGCTATAAAAAGGGATCACAGAATACGGCCGCAGACGCCTTAAGTCGTGTCATTTTAGATATAAACGTTAACAATGAAATTCACATAGAAGAAAATACAATCCAAGAATCCGGTAAACCTTTAAACGAATTTAATATTCAACTTATCCTAAAGAAAGAACAGCAGACCAAAACCGAAACGATAGTCCCATTTAAAAACAAATTAAGACGCACTATTTTCGATAGTACTTTCTCCAAAGAACAAGTCGCGCTAGTTTTTAAATGTTTTAACAAATTTAATATTCAACTTATCCTAAAGAAAGAACAACCGACCAAAACCGAAACGATAGTCCCATTTAAAAACAAATTAAGACGCACTATTTTCGATAGTACTTTCTCCAAAGAACAAGTCGCGCTAGTTTTTAAAAGTTATTTAAAACCTAACAAGACGTGTGCGATTCTAGTGGCAGACGAAACCTTCGAAATTGTCAAAACAGTATTTATGGAATATTTTTCCCAATCTGGAATATATAAAATCATAAGATGTAGAACACTATTAAAAGATATCACGGATACGAAGCTGCAAGACATAGAGATCAAAACATACCATATCAACAACAACCATAGGGAATAGACGAAACCTTACTGCACTTAAAGAGAATTTACTTCCCCTATATGAAACAAAGAATAACAAGCATTATAAATAGTTGCGAAATTTGTCAAACATTAAAATATGACAGACAGCCGCAAAAGATTATGTTTAAAGAAACTTAAACCCCAAAGAAACCTTTAGAAATACTTCACATAGATGTATATACAATCAATAATAAAATGATTCTAACAATAATCGATAAATTCTCCAGATACGCAATTGGATATACAATTCCAGCTAGAGATAGTATCAATATCGTAAAAGGAATGCGAAACTATATTAACACATTTGGTATACCACTTAAAATCGTTTGCGATCAAGGGACGGAATTCGCGAATAAATTATTCAGTGACTTTTGTAGACAGTACAACATCCAAATACACATAACTTCGTTCCAACAGTCATCAAGTAATGCACCAGTAGAGAGACTGCACTCTTCCCATACGGAAATATACAGAATAATATTTGAAAAGAAGAAGGCTCTAAAGATTCTGTTAGACCACGAAGAAATTCTGTCAGAAGTTTTTACCACGTATAACAACTCAATACATTCAGCAACAAAATTAACCCCACTTGAATTATTTACCGGACGTACACATACTTTTCAAAAAGACAGAACGTTTAATACAGAGCAAGAATATCTTAGGGAACTCAATGAATTCAGGCAAAAACTATACCAGGAAGTAAAACAGGAAGCGGAAGCTTCAATAGAGGCCAGAAAACAAAAATTAAATAAAGAAAGAACAAATCCCATTCTGTTACAAAGAGAAGACATAGTCTATAGGAAAGAAAACCGACGAAATAAGCTCATGCCTAGATTTACGAAATATAAAATTGAAGAAGATAACGATTTTACAATAACTACTAATAAAAAACAAAAATTCATAAGTCTAAGACAAATAAGAATTATATTAAACATATCCAAAAATAATAATCATAAGTCTAAGACAAAAAAGAATTATATTAAACATATCCAAAAATAATAAGATTATTTATAGCCCATGCTGCAAAGCCTGGGTGGCTGGTAATCAAAATACAATGCCCAAGAACAGACACCGCCTTTTACAATTTTCCATGCAAGTATAAGAACTGAGAGATGGTTGGTTACAAAAGAAGCAGTTCCGATTATTCAGTGTGTTGCGGAGGACGTGTTCGACCACCTGCTAAAAACTGACAAAAGCATAGAAGAATAGTTGAATATAATAGTCTCTGACTACATTAAAACTGAAGAGAGCGTTTTATTTTAAACAAATGCGTCCATCGATTACTTACACCAATGTTTATTGGTAACTCCTTCGAGCGGCGAACCGCGCGAAAGCTGCCAAAAACTTTTCCGTGGTTAGATCGGATGTAGCTTTTAAGTGGATAGATTCGTGCCAAAGCACACGAAGCCCTTAGTTATTAGACAGGCGCGGACAGTGTAATTCTTTATCTCAAATGGGCCCTGTGTGTGAAAAAGGGGCGGGGGAAGGGGGTTTGGGGGTGCTACGTGGGGCTGGAAGGCTTCCCATCAGCTGAGTCTGCAGCCGTTTCTTATGCAGATCTTGCACGAGCTGATTATGGTTTTGGCCAAGTCGCGTATGCGGGGGATCCAATATTTGGACCGGACCAGGCTGATAGTCAGTTGTGCTCCACCATGCAGTGAGAGGCGTTGAGTGAAGTGGACTAGGAGCCGCGAGTATACGTAACTGTACGGCGGGATGATCGGATGTTGTTCGTCATAGCTCAGCGAGCTAGAGGCGACGAGCCGGCCGCATGCCCGCATGACTCCGTGATCGTTCTCAGAGGGGCTCAAATTTAGTAAGCGGCTACCATTCGATCCGCTAGGGCGCTGTATTCCTGTGGATACTCCCTCCTTTGCGTGTAGATCGTCAGGATCCGCTGCGCCTCTGCTAACTCCTGAATGTACGCGACTACTCTTAGTGCTCTGCCCAGATCGGAGAACCGTTCAAGAAGGTGTGGAGGAGAGGGCCATGTGGCGAGATGCGATTGGATGTTGCGTCTGTTGGTCTGTTTCCTTTGGGGCCAGGTCCTGCGCTGGCCAGTTGTCGCGGGAATTTCGGAATCATGCCGGCCCATGCCACCACAAGTCGCTACCTTCCAACTCCTGCGGCGAGACGCCTCTGCTAGCGGGATCTGCTGGATTGTGCTCAGACCGCACATGGTACCACTCCTGATTGTTTGTGACTTGCCCAATCCTGGCCACTCGGTTGGCCACAAAGGTGGTCCAGTTGCGCAGCCAGGTAAACACGATGGACGAGTCGATCCAGTACTGCGTCGGGAAACTGCTAAGTGGGAGAATGGCCGCGCACATGTCGGCCAGGAGCAACACGCCGCATAGTTTCAGGCGCGGCAATGACACCGTCTTGGTAGGGGCAACTCTCGTCTTAGGTGCCAGAAGGTGAACTTGTACACGTTGTTGAAATTCCGTCCGCACTTTAATTGGGGCTCCGTAAGCCTTCTATGAGGTGTCGCAGAAGCCGTGGTACTGCCACCTGGTATCTGGTGGGCGGAAGCGGACCCATCTTGGGATCCGGATTCGGTCGAGCGCTGGGTAGCTGTGCAGGAAATCGTGCCACCTCAGGAGTAGGTTGTCAGGAAGAGGATCATCCCATCCGATGCTGCTCAGCCAAATCTCCTGCATGAAGATTTTGGAGCGAATTATGAAGGGGGCCAGCCAGCCTGCTGGGTCGAACAATTTCGCTATTTGTGGCAGGACCTCCCGCTTTGTGAAACTTGGTTTCGGCACCAAGATGGAGCCGACGAAGAGAAACTTATCGAATGCCCAGCGTCTTCGTGGTGCTGGCATCTTCTATATCTATGAGGTCGGTGTGCAGAAGATGGTGGTCAGGCAGACTCCGCAATAACTCCATTTCGTTCGTGATCCACTTTCAGAGCGGGAAGCCAGCCGCGTTAAATGCCCGCTGGAGTTCATCGATGGATGAAAGCGGGCGCCCCAGCCAGGACGTCATCCACGTACATGTAGTCGGTGATCATCCGGCTGACCAGCGGATATTACGAACGTGAGTCCTCTGCGAGCTGTAGAAGGACTGGGATGGCTAGAAAATGGGCGCAGTTCACCCCAAAGGTGTCCAGCTCAAAGTCACACAAGTCTTCGGCTGAATTGCGGTGCTGGATCCTCTGGAAAGGGGTGCGCTCAGCGTGGACCCGAATCTTCCGATATATCTTGGTGATGTCGGCGCTGAACACGTACCGGAAAGAACGCCATTTCAGGACCAGCAGGGTCAGATCAGATTGGAGGATGGGTCCCGCATGTAGTACGTCATTTAGGCTCTTCCCGTTTGAAGAAGGGCTGGAGGCGTTGAAAACCATGCGGAGTTTCGTGGTGACGCTGTCCGGTTTCAAAACTGGAACATGTGTCCCAGGCTA